ACTCTTTCCGGAGGCCCAGGAACAATCCATTGAAGGGTGTCTGCGTATTTACATACATATGTGTATATATATATATACATCTGCGACGGAGAATGCGCTGACCCTGACCCCGCAGGATGCGCTGACCCTGACCGCTCTCTGGACCTGTCCGGAGGTGCGTTCCGCTACTCCCCGGACCTCTCCCGAGGTGCGTTATGACCAGAATGTCGGGGAGAATCCAGCCGTGGCGACGAGGGCTCTCCAGGACGAGCAGCGGTATCGGTGCATGCTCCTCCTCTTGAAGGGCCGAAAACAAACCTCACCGGGGTCGGTGCAAGTGCCGGCTCACCACATAGTGCGTATATAGGTCAAGCGGATAGCGGAGCAACATGTGTTGCCCAGCCCTCTGGAACAGCACACAGAGTAGCAGCACTTCACCTGAACACATGACATGGAGCTTGCTCTGGTAGCGGAGCAATGGAATACTGACTATCGCGTGGCCGGAAGAAACAATGAAGGCTTTTTCTACAAGACCGCCCACGTGAAAACAATGATGATGGACAGTGCGCGAAGCTTGAAATCTGAAGCGTGCGTTTGGCGGGCGATTTACATTTCAAGGCCGCTATTCAAACTGCGTGGTCGATGGGTCTGGATCATGGTTTGGGACCCGAAGACTCGTACTGCAACAGCCAACGTGGCGCATCCTCACCCGGCTCCTTCGCCGATTTCCCTGACTCCATGGCCGACCAGACGACGTGGTATATACATCGCACCTTTCCGCCCCGCTCCCGTCGAAGTGTCCCGGCCCCACTGCAAACTGTCAACCATACAGACCCTCTGGAGCAAAACAAAAACTCAAGACCGCAAATCAAAGGCCAACCGACTTGGGTCACGACCCCAGAGTTAAGTCGGGCATGTCCCTCTGCAGGAAGAAAATTCAAGCATATTAAGATTCCCGAAACGGTGCGGTGACAGACCATGCGGTGACCTCGAAACCCCCCAAAACCTCCCCGCACGGTCCGTCACAGCACGGCCTTGGGACCTCGGAGGCCCCTGTCGCCCGAGACTTCCTCGGAGAACGACCCGAGTCCCAAAACCGCGCGGGGACCCCGAATCCCCACCGACTCACCGCACGGTGTGGTCACCGCACCATGTGGGGGCCCCCGAGAATAGTCCGAGGGTCTAAGAAAAGTGGCCGTCTCTTGGCCGGAACACCGCGGCCCCCGAAAAAACACCTCGCCACGAGCCAGAGGCGTCCGAGCAGAAAGGGGTCCCGGGCGCTGGCCCTCCCCTGGAGCCCAGCAGCCTGACCCCGGAAGGCCTCACGGCCGCCCCTCGCCGCATGAGCTTCTTGATCTGCGGGGCGAGAGCGAACCTCTTCCGCCAAAAGCTGGGCGGGCTGCGCACAGCTTTAATCAGGGAGACAGGGGACCTCGCCGCATGAGCCGCACGGAGCACCCCGACGAAAAAAGGGGGTCCTGGGCGCTGGCGCGCCCCTGGGAGCCCCGGAGCCCTCCCCGGGCGCCTCACGGCCAGGGCCCCCCCATAGACCTGTGGACGCCATGACACTGGACACCCTAACAATCCTATCATTGAATTACAGAAGTGCTTAAAATGTGTAAAACATGTTCTAAAAATGATCCAAGCGTGTTTCTTTATTAAACTTTAAAAAAAAAAAAAAAAAAAAAAAAAAAAAAAAAAAAAAAAAAAAAAAAAAAAAAAAAATGAAACACATTTAAGACATCTGGAAATTATTTGGCAGCATGCTTCCTCTCCATTAATCGACTTCCACAACCATAGACAGGGCCCCTCTCGAGACAGCCAGGACAGTGGCGCGCCCAAGAGAACTGCGGCCGCGGATCGAAACGTCCTTCATCGCTCGCTCGCTCCAGGTGGAACCCTCTAACGTCCTGGCTAGCAGAGCCCTCGCTCAGGGGGCGCTGACGCAGCCGTCCCTGAAGCCCTCCTGAAGACCGCGAGGCCCAGGACCCTGGAGGCGGCCGGGGGGTCTTGAGCTCATCGAACCCCCGAAAATCTCAGGGGGGGCATGAAGCCAAATCTGTGGAAAGTCGATCCCGGACCCCTCCCGGAGTCCATCCGGTGCAGTTCTCTGTCACCCAGATCCGTGTTTCACGGTCCTGGGGCTCGAAAACTGCCCCCCGAGGCCGAACCCCCCCCAAAAAAAACTTCCCGAACCCAGAACCTTCGCCCCCCCCCCCCGTCCGTCTGGCTGGAACCAGTGCTGGGCCACCTCAGACTCCCAGCCGGCTCCAAGTTTGGGTGGTGCCGACGTACCGATCCTGGAATGGCCCCTGTGACTACCTGGCAGACCACCCCAACCCAACCCGAAGGCCGGAATTAGACCCGAATTTCGGGTTGGGGGTACGAGCTTCATATGTGTTTTTGTCTATGCTCCCCCCACTGGAAATGGAGGGCAAATTGGGGACTTCGGGTTGGGTTGGGGTGGTTTGGTTGGCGGTGACCCTGGAGCAACTCGCCCTGGATCTTCGCCCGGTCTTCGAAGCGGAAGGGCGGGCCCGCAGCTGACGAGGCCCAGGACCCCTTCCCCCCCAGGAGGCCTCCGGCATCCTCCGGAGGTGCGTCGCGCAGGCCGCCAGAGAGGCCTCCCTGCAGGCCCCGCAGAGGCCAAGAAGCCGCCCAGAGAGCTGACCCTCGATCCACGATCGACCGACGCCTCGCTTCGTTTCGCTTCGACCACCGTCATGAGCAGATAGCGATGCACGTGGAGCAACACCCTGCCACACTGCCACGCTACTACAACGCCATGGCCCCTCACACAGGATGATGCGCAAAGCCCTGTTGCTCGATCGACGCCTCCGGGACCCTCTCCCTCAGGACCTGTGGCCCAGGCCTCCGCTCACGAAGAGACCCCAACTCCCTAGCCAAGTCCTCGATCCATCGACGCCGCAGGGGCCCTCTCCCTTCGGGCGGGTGGTAATGGGGGCCTGACCTAAGTGGGGGGTGGAAGAACGGGCCCTCAAGGAGCCCTTTGGGGCCCCTTTTGGGCCCCAGCTGCCTCCAAAAGGGGCTTAAGACGGCCCCTTCAGAGGCCTTTCCCAGGGAACTGAACTCGACAACCCGACGCTTTTTCCGACCCCGCACTGACACTGACACAAGAAGGCGGATCCTGGTGTTGCTTCCCAGGGAAAACAAAGGAGAAAATGTACAACACACCACCCCGACGTCGCCCCCGACCCTCAAGAAGCCCTGGGATTGAAGAACAGCCTGCCACCGGTAATGTGCATGTTCCAGCTTCCGATGTCCTTCGCCTCCCATGTAGACCTCCCCCCACTTCGGCAGGGGGAAACAATTAGTGGACACTCCCCCGCTGCCCCAAACTCTCAAAGTTGGCACGCGCGGGGGAGACTGCGGTCGAAGTGGAACTCATCAGACCCACCGCCAACCCTGAACACTGGGGGGAGGGGGAGGCGTTGACCGACGGAGTGTGGCATGCGTGCTCGCTATTTTTTCCCAGGCCTGCATCGCCCGCCCGATCCCTCGGGACCCCTCTGGCTCGTGGCCCAGCCCCCGCCCCCCCTTCCCAGGAAGGGACCCCGCCACCCCCCTGGCCGAGAGACAAAGGCCCTCGGCCGAGGAGAAGCCCAAGGGGTGTTCGGGGCGCTCCTCGGAGCGCCTGCACTCGTGCCACCCCAGGATTCCTCGGGGTCTCTCCTCGGCTTGGGCCTTTCCTCGGTTCGGGGTTTCTCCTCAGTGCACCTGCGTTTACCTGGTATTGTGTATGCCATAACAACGGACACTCTAACAATCATATCATTGGATTACAGATGTGCTCAAAATGTGTAAAACATGTTCTACACATGTTTAAACATGTTCTTACATATGTAATACATGTTTGAAACATTAGTGAGACCTCTGGAAACTATTTGGCAGCACGCTTCCTCTCCATTCATCGACTTCCATAAACATGGTACGAATCCGAGCCCTCCTGGGCGGGGTGGGCTACCAGGCGCCCCTGCGCGATGAGGAGTGGGCGACGAGGGCTGGATGCGTCCACCCCCCCAGGAGCCTGTCCCCCGTGTTGTTACCCCTGGTGGCTTTCGGGCCAGAACTCTGATGGGCCTGTTGTCCACCACCACTACCATAAGTCGGAGGGGGGAGGAGGAGGAAGAGGAGGAGGAGGAGGAGGAGGAGGAGGAGGAGGAGGAGCCCCTCCCCCTCCAACTTCTAGTGGTGGTGGTGGAAAACAGGCCCATCAAACTCGGGTCTACGAAGGCCGTTCGGGACGACCCGGGCACCCCGGGAACGCTCTCGGCGAGGCGCAGGCGCTGGAGCGCACCCCGAGGCTGGAAACCCGCCGAGAACCAATACAAAAACCAGCTCCCGACCCCACCCTCCCTTAACGTTGCCCCCGAGCGTCCCCCCTTCCCGAAGGACCCTCGGGCCGCCTCCGTGAAAGGGCGGTCAAGAGAGTCGCATCCCCCAAGCTGTTCAATGTGTAGACGTCTGTCGGAAGCAGAACGTAAAAACATGAAGTAGGAAGGCGGATAAAGTAGATTGGGCTCCGGCACTCCCAGAGAAAAACAAACCGCAGCAGAAGCAGATCGACTCTTGAAGTGAAAAAGCGATTGAAATGGACTGGGATCCTGGCCTCCGAACACACCTACTTGCAACGACCGGCGCGCCGGGGTCACCCCCCCCGGCGGACGACGACGACGACGACGACGACGACGACGACGACGACGACGACGACGACGGCGACGACGACGGACGACGACGACGGACGACGACGACGACGACGACGACGACGACGATGACAACGACGACGACGACGGACGACGGACGACGGACGACGGACGACCGACGACCGACGACCGACGACGACCGAAGAAGCGCTGGGCGCGCGGGGCCTTACCCTGCCCGAAGGACCCCCGCGTCCGCGAACATCCACCGCGCCGTCGCCATTGCGCCAGCCGCGGGAGGCCCGTGAGAAAGCCCCGGTCGCCGCCCCCCCCCCCAGCCTGCGAGCGGGCCTCGGGCCGAGGGGGGGGGGGCAGGGAGGGAGGGGGAAGGAGAGCGGCGGGCAGGGAGCGGAGGAGGAGGGGAAGGAGGAGGAGGAGGAAGCAGGAGGAGGAGGAGGAAGGTGGAGGAGGAGGGGGAGGAGGAGGAGGAGGAGGAGGAGGAGGAGGAGGAGGAGGAGGAGGAGGAGGAGGAGGAGGAGGAGGAGGAGAAGGAGCAGGAGGAGGAGGGAGGTGGAGGAGGAGGAGGAGGAGGAGGAGGAGGAGGAAGGAGGAAGGCCGCGTTGGAAGCGAACACTCCAAGGCCGACAGCGACAGCGGCAGAAGGAGGAGGAGGATCCTGACTCGGGCCTTAGGACGGCTCCAGGAGCGAGGCCAGATGGGGGAACCGACAGACTTTTCGGGCCCTCGGCCCCAAGAGGCCCCCAGGAGGCGCCAATAAACACCCTGGAGGCCCCCAGGAGGCCCCCAGAGGCCCCCACGAGACTCCCAAGAAGCTCCCGAGCGGTCCCCCAAACGGCCCCCATTAGGCACCGAACCGGGCCCCAAGAGGCGTCCAAAATCCTTCCAGGAGGCCCCCAAGAGACCTGCCCCCAAGGATCCTCCAAGAGCCAAGAGAGCCACAAGACGCACAAAGATCACTCCACGACGCCCAAGATAGTTCCAATACGGCCCAAGACGCCAAGAGGCGTCCAAGAGGCTTCCCTAGGGGGCGCCAAGAGGCAAACAAAGGTTGGTTTTATTCGTAGGTCTGGAAGGTTTCCATGGGTCTCGCCTTTTCGGCTTCCCGACGCTCCAAGACAGCCCAAGAGGCCCCCAAGATCGCCCCAAGACCGCCCAAGAAACCCCCGAAGCAGCCCCAAGACGGCCCAAACGGGCCCCAAGACAGCCCAAGAGGCCTCCAAAACGGCCCAAAAGGGCCCCAAGACACCTCTAAGAGAGAGCCCAGACGGGAGATCCGAACGGACTTTTCGGGCCCTCGGCCCCAAGAGGCCCCCAGGAGGCCCCAAGAAAGGCCCTGGAGGTCACCAAGAGGCCCCCAGAGGCCCCCACGAGCCCCCAAGAAGCTCCCGAGCGGTCCCCAAGAGCTCCCCAAACGGCACCCAAAAGGCACCGAACCCGGCCCCAAGAGGCTTCCAAAATCCTTCCAGAGGGCCCCCAAGAGACCTGCTACGAGCTCCGAACGAACTGTCCAGACGCTCCCATGAGGAGCCCCGGACGACTGCAGGACAGCTTCAAGCGCGCTCCAGGGCCTACCAAGATGGCTCCAAAACGACCCCAGATGGCCAGTTGTCGTCGTCGTGTTCGGTCGTCGTCGTCGTCGTCGTCGACGTCGTCGTCGTCGTCCTCGTCGTCGTCGTCGTCGTCGTCGTCGTCGTCGTCGTCGCCCGAAAACAGCCCTAGAGGGCTCCGGGACAGCCCGAGAGGGTGCCTAGATGACCAGCAAAGGGCCCCAAGCGGACCCCCAATCAGACGACGACGACGATCTTGACCGCAGCGTTACTGGAGACACGTCGGTGCAAGGATCAAGATTAGAAGGCGAAGCGCAGCGAGCCTTAAAATCTTGTGTGCGTATATATACATATATACGGGCCATGTGAATATATGTATACTTCCTGGGAGAGGGGAGGAGCGGAATGAAGTGGATATGTATAGCTGTTCTCATCCGACTTCTTCCACGCAAGGTCAATCCCCATCGAATCGGGAGATCGGATCGAATCGGACTGTGAGCCGGATCGGGCTGCATCGGCACGGAATCGAAATCGAATCGGATCAACTGCGCCAGGATGCACAACACGGACACGCGAGCATCTGGCCGCATCGGATCGCCGGCATACCGGAATCGAGAAGCATCGGGTCGACCCGAATCGAGATCGAATCGGATCGACCGGATCTGCATGGACCCCGCCACTGACACGATCGGGAAAGATCTACACAGTGCCAGACGTCCGATGTCTTGATTTGTCAATGCGAATTCCCTGCAGCCCCGGCCCTTTCCCCAAGGCCGGCTTTTCAACCCGTTCGACGGCCCTGGGGCCCAGGGGGGGGACCCTGGAGGCCGAAAGCTGCCAAAAGTCTTCCGCCATGACTTTTCGATGACGCGAGGGCCCAGTCATCCAGCGTCTCGATTTTCGTTTAAGAGACGATGCCCCCACATCTCGAGCACTTCCCCAGGACCAGTCTTCCATCCCGAATCGGTTTGACGGTCCCGAGGCCTGGTTAGGGCCCCGAAGGGCCATAAACGAGGAAAAAACCCTCCGTCTCATGTTTTCCAGAATGTCGGATGTCTGGGGTGGTCGGGGCAGTTCTCACGTAGCCGCCTTATCAGGAGGGGGGCACAGTGACCGAACATGTGCCCGAATACCTACACGAGTGTGACCGAAACTGGCGCCCGAGATTTCCCGACCGCGCCCGAGTGTGACCGAAATGTTTGGTTCGAAGCCACTATGATGTTTAATTTCGGTCACACATTCGGTCACACTGCTCTTTCGATCACACTATCGGACACGCTTTGGGCTAAGTTAACTACGGAATGTTTGTTCGGTCACACGCCTGTTCGGCTGATAGGGGCCAGGCGGAATGACAGCTCTCCTCCTCCGACAGGCGGCGACCTCCGAACCCTGCCCCCACCCACCGTCGATTCTCCGGAATCGATGCGAGGCGGGGGTAGGGCTCGGATTACGCCACGTGTTCGGCGCATCCCGCTACTCCAGATTTCGTAATAAAGGGAGGGGGGTCTCATTTCGGGGGGGGGTCTCTTCCAGGCTATCTTGGAGGGCCTGGGGGGGTCTGGGGACGATGTTTTGGAGGGTTCTCCCACGGGGGAGGTCTGAAATGGCTTGTCTTGGAGGGTTGAGACCCCCTCCCTTTTATTACGAAATCTGGAGTACCCTACCCGAGGTTCCCAAACCAGGGTCCCATCCATCCACCGATCCACGGGGTCCCCGCGCCAGATCCACGGATCCCCAATCCATGTCGGCGTGTGCCCGACCCGGGGCCCACGCAGCGGCCGGGGCCGGCGCGAACACGCGGGGCAGCCAGCCTCCTCTGGCGGACCCCGCCTTGGGCACCGCGCGCGGACGATCCCCTGGCGTCCGTCGAGGTGCCTCGACCGTGGATCCGCGAGGGCAGGGCTCGGACTCCTCGCCGCCCGCGGAGGGATGGGGCCCCGAGGGCGAGGGGCTCCAGGCGGCGCGGAGTCCCACCCGGGGCCACTGCCTGTCCGCCGGGTGCCCGGCCCCCGCTGGCCCCGCCCCCCTCCCCCGCCGAGGGTCAGTCGGCCTCGAATCTGGGGAGCCCACAGAGGACGTGAACGCCCAACGACGCACACGGACACTGCCCCCCAGGCCGCGGGGCCAGCCGCGCGAAGCGAACGTTCGCGCCACTCGTGCAGCCAACCCGTGGTATAAGGATGCGCGGTAAGGATGCAAGGGCCTTGGAAGGCCATGTCGACACCTTGCGAGCGGGGCGCGGCCAGCGAAAGTGGCCAAGGATGGACGGAGGAGGCAAGGATGCAACGGTACCCTCGGGAAGGCTGCCCGTCCTTCCTGTGCGGGCTGACTGCACTCTCGAAACCAGCGCGGATTGATGTACGTGCACGTCCTCTTTTCTTTGGACGCCCGAAATGGGTACGGAAAGAATGGGCACAATGCCCAACAACACATGTTGTCCCAAACCAACAGCGGCCGCTGTTGGGCAGGCGGCCCTCTGCCTCGAATGGGCACAGGCCGCGGCGGCGTGAACAGCGAGTCCTGCTCAAGATGAACAGGAGCTGCTGCTGGGCATTGCACCCACTCTTTCCGTACCCATGCCGGTCGTCCCGATTTTCGCCTGTGTCCATTCGAGGCAGAAGGCCGCCTGCCCAACAGCGGCCGCTGTTGGTTTGGGGCAACATCTGTTGCTGGGCATTGTACCCACTCTTTCCGTACCCACGCCGGTCGTCCCGAGTTTCGCCTGTGACTGCCCCAGGATCGGTCAGCGTCGAATCGGCACTGGATCGGATCGAGATGCCCATCGCATCGGACTGCCTCCGCACGGGCGCCCTCGGCGGCGCGCCCCCCTGGGGGCGGCGGCCGCGCCCGCACGGGGGCCGCCCTCCGGGGGCGGCCGCACCCCAGGGCCGAAGGCGCGCGCCCCCCCCCCCCCCCCAGAAAATAGTTTCGGGAGCCGCGCCCTCCTCTGGATATCCTGGATACTCTCTCGGAGACACGTCGAGCAGGCACAGCATGCCTCAGGATGGAGGACACAAAAAAAAGGAAGGGGGCCAAGGGGACAAACCCCGAGGAATGGGAGGCCAGGCGAGATCCTGGGAGCCTCCCTCCTGCCCCCCGAGGCGGTCGAGGCTTCCGTGGCGGTCGAGGACTGGCCCGCCGCAGCCCCACCTCCGCGGGCCGGGGGGGGGGCCGCTGCCGCCGCACCTCCCCCCCCCCCAATCGGGCGCGGGCGCAGCGCCGCCGGGCCTTCCAGCAGAGCGCGACCGCGGCCGTCTGCGCCGCGGCGCTCAGGCAGCACCAGACCTCCGCGCTCTCATGGGGGGGGGGGGGGGGCACACGCTGCAGGGAGGACATGGGATGAAAGACCACTGGATATACCCAAACACCGAGCACCCGGGCCGAACCGCGCTGTCGGGGGGGGGAGGGGAGGGGAGGGGGGGCGGCACACGCTACGGCGATGGCACCGGGTGAGGAACCGTTGGATACCCAGACACCCTGCGCCTCGAGAACATCGGGGCGGAGGTATTCCCTCGCTTGCGGCCCCACCGGGGCCCTGACTGGGCCTCGGGACCGTCGAAAAATATTCGGGATGGAAAACTGGTCCTGGGGAAATGGTCGAAAGGTCGGGGGCCCGTGTCTCGACAAAACCAGCACGCCAGGTGTCTGGATAAGCCAACCCTGCGCCTTGAAGCTTGTGGAACTCCCACCGTGGACTGGCCGTGGATATCATCGCCGCCTTCATCAGGCAATGAGTCCTCCAGCTTCTGAAGCCTCCTGGGCACACTCCTTGACGAACAACCTCGCCCTAGC